GAAGGGGATCATTCCCTTTGTCGAGTAGTGCCTTGGATGGATTCTTCAGCATCTCCAGTTGTCCTCTACTGACACGGGTCGCTACACGCCAAGCCCTCGCAGATCCTCTTCTGCCGACACTTTCCAACCCCAGAAACTACACCGGGTAATCTCCGAGGGATGAATTTATCGAAGTCTGGAATAAATAGGACGACAACGTAGTTTGACCGGTATACTTTTTTGTGAAGTATACCGGTCATATTTTGGCCGATGATATGTCGTTTTGCTGACGATTTAAGTCTCCCTTCCAAAACTCTCGAGATTGACCGGTCAACGATTTGGCCTTCTCCTTTGACCGGTCTTGGGTGAAACACACCCATCAACAAGTATCTGATATCATTATTCCAACCAAATTAGAGGAAAAAAATATTTGCACTATTTTTTTTAATATCGGCACTTCTTAATATATTACTTGCCCCTCTAACGTATACTCCGTACTTTGAAGTGTCAATTACTCGCTCTGTCCTATTTGAATTTTTCGGTTTGCGATTCGATGTTTTACCGATTTTTTTAAATAAATTTATTACGAGTATATTATAGGTATATAATTAAAAAATAAAAATTATATATTGGAAAATTACATCATTAGATTTACAAATATAGATATGATATTATTATATTATGCTATTAAATGAATAATGAAAATAAAGATACAAAATACAAAAAATTTGATCATGTGAAGATTGAAATGGGATGGAGAATAATAAAAATGTATTGGGGATTGTAAATATCATTTTTTTTCAAATTAGTTACAAAATCTCTATAAAAAAACAAAATCAAGCTTTCCTAATTTAAAAAAAAATGAAATCAAACCCTTTCCTTATCCCAAATCTCTCTCTCTCTCTCTCCGGGTCTTGTTGAAACGCCGGGTGCTGCTCTCAGCCACCGTTCTTCGGACCGGTCTTCAGTCAAGAGTCTCAGAGACTGGCTGGGTCTCGGCCATCTGAACCTTTCCTCCGCCCCGTTGCCGCGTCCTCCATTGTCGCATGTATCTGTTTCTCTAAGGTCGGTTCTCAAAGCACTTGCAGTTTCTTATCCACTTTACTTTAATAGCTAATTCATAGATTACGGAGTATTTTAAGTTGATTTCTGATCCAGTTTCCTAGGGTTCATGGAAAAAAGCTTGGATGTAAATGCTAAATTAGATTCACTCATTTTTCTCCAGCTATTGAACTCTCATTTACACTTCCAATTCGAAACGTCTTTTGCTTAGAATTGTTCTAGCAGATTATGAAACTCATTTTCTAGAAATGAACTCATTATGGATTCAATAACAATAACAGATATCTTCAGAAGAACAGAGTTGGAGAAAGTATTTAATTCCCATTGAAAGAGGAAAAACTCAAAGATATTTGGAAACAATTTTGTTTCTTCAAAGTGAATTTTTATTCTGAAGGGAGTTGATATAGCCACTCCATTTTGTGTTATTGTCGTACTATATTCATTAAGTTACAAGGAAAAGGTGCAATGCCGATAACAAGAAAAAGTAAGTGTCTATTAACTCAATAGGAGTTCCATTGGAATAAAAACATATATGCTCATCGTCTGGATTTAATTGTCCACTTTCTTATTTTCATTTGGCCGTAATTAGTTGTCTACTTTCTGTATTCAATAAGGAAATTATAATGAATTGTCTGAAGTGTCCTTGGAGATGAGTTATGAGCATTGTTGACATGATTAAGTGACAGCTTATTTGAAAGACTTATTTGACATTTTTAACTCCAGTGGGATTCAACTGAGTTGTTGTTGTATTTGACATTTTTAACTCATTTAACTAATTCCGGACGGAGAGAGTATATTTATAAAGGAAGAACTTTTATTTAGTATATAGTTCTCCACATAAGCGTTCCATGTCACAATTCAAATACTCGCTCCATCCGGATTAAGTTGTCTGACTTTTCCTTTTTTTGGTTGTTCATAATCAATGGTTCACTTTCTATATTTAGTAAACATATAATCCGGCATTTGTGAAATATCAAAAGTATCCCATCTCACATATTAATATCGTCGCCATCAATGCAGACAGGCTAGTTTCAATTTTTGCATTTTGTTGTTAATCCACCTTCATTTTTTAATTTTGTGTTATTTTGGAAGGTGGACAACTCTCTTTTTCAAACAATTCAACTATACACATTTTACTATTCAACATTTTTTAAACTACGTGGAGTCAAACCATAATTCAGAAACTAGTGGCGTATTTTTTTCTCCTAAGAGTAATACATCTACTGATTTCTCATAGTTTTAATCCTCTCTTGCAGATGCATATTGGCCTCTATTTTCCATACCAATAATCCAAACAAATATCAGAATGGCACATCCCCTTTGCTTCTCCAAACCACCCATCCGACCACCACTTTCCTCCTTCCTCCCACCTCCACCATCTTCAAAGCTCTCCAACCCAACATTCAGCTTCAAAATTAAACCCAGACTCTTTTCTCTCCACCTCTCAAAACCTGACAAGCTAATTTCCACGCATCCCAAAACATGCTGCCCTAGAGCTGCCCCCCGAGACACAGAATCCGATGGAAGAGCCCAAGAAACCCAGTCTCAACCAACAAATTCAGATTCCAAGGCTGCAGCTGCTGATGGAGGCGGTAGACTTGATGACGAGGTGTCGCGTTTGGCTTCAAGAATAAGGGAAGCGGCAGACAAAAGGCCGGATTCTTTGAGCGGGGTGGTGGAGGAGATAAGGGAGATCAATTGGCCGGCTTTCAACAAGGTCTTGGGTACTACTGGAGTGGTGTTGGGGGTTATTGCTGGGTCCAGTGTCATTTTGCTCACTCTCAACGCCATTTTGGCTGAGCTCTCCGATAGGGTCTTTGCCGGAATGGGAGTCCAAGATTTCTTCAGGTGAGCAGAATTCCAGACAAGGCGCCAGTTTTTGTGTCTTGGAAACAGTCTCCCCACTCCATAGTAGGGGTAAGGTTAAGACCCTACTTTTGAAGGTATCTATTATTGTTTGCTCTGTTGATGATGATGATGATGTAAGGTGTAATTGCTCATATATATTGTATTCTTTTTGCGAAAGGATCCACTCATTTCTTTAATGGCTTGAAGTGGTAGATGATGAATTGATTTTGCAGGTGAAAAATGATTTTATTTGTGCTTGTAAATGCCAATTTAATTGTGTAAATTAGAAATTCTAGAGAGATTTGACAGTCATTTATATGGTTCCAAATGATGGGAAGAGTGAAATGGGGATATATGCTTTGTGTGATCTTTCATAAACTATCCAAACAGGTCTGATTTATGGCACTATGTCCGCAAGAAGTAATACTATGTCCCCAATTAAATTAAATTTGCACTGTGTGTCAAAAGAACCATTCTGTTTTCTATTACTATACAAAGTATTGTTTTTTTTAGTACGTACGTAGTACAAAGTAATCTTTATTTGATTTGTTTGAAAGTAGCCAAATTCAGCGAATACTATGAAGCAGATGAAGTAACATGTCAACAAACACAAATTTTTAGGTGAAAGATTCTTTCTAAAAGTTTATGAACTTTCTTAATAACTACATAAACATTTTTTAATTTTATGATAAGTATTTATTTAATATCTAAGTAATTTGCTTATATATAAAAAAGATTCTTACATCATTGTGTGACCAAATACCAATTTTTTGGTATGTTGAGGATCTAAGTTTCCACACTGTAGTAAATACTTATATTAAACAAAATGGCATTTTGACTTAAACCATAACAATGTGTGACCAAATACCAATTTTGGTCCCATAGGGGGTTTCCCCTCCCACACTAGGTGTGTTGTGTGTTGGGTTTTATTAGAAACAATTGCACTCTCCGATCACTTTTTTGTCCTTCCAAATAAATTTTCTCTAGAATTAGGGTGCCAATATTTATTGGAAATATAAAAGAAATTAGAAGTACAATAAATAAACCTTCGACTCTTGGCAATAACAATAAAGGATAATCAATTCCTTATTTTTCACACTAATATTTTAGTAATTCAATTTATCTCCTCTCAAACAACTATCAAGTCGGGTCTTGTAAGACTTCAGGGATGAGGTTCATCCTTTTTTCTAGCAAACAAAAAATCAGAAATATAATGTAAGGCCAAAATACAGCTGCAGTAGTATAAAATGCTTTGACAAACTGAAAAAAAATAGGCATATACTCAAAAGCAGCAAACTTTCTGCTGCAAGAATGAAAGATGAATGTCACAACTCACAATTGGAAAGAACCATCCCACACAACCACTAAAAAATGAACTGAGAACTCTAAATGAAACCTAATCTGCAATAACAATACTACTATACTAGTGCTCAAACTTTGTGATCATGGAGCCGATTCTGCGCAGCAGTTTCGAAGCCTCCTTTTCTCCTACTGACAATGGGCTGGTCCACTCTTGAAACTGGTGGAGGCTGCCCGGGAAGTCCGTGAAGAGCCCGTCCACGCCAATCTGGTTTATCCACCACCTGAACTCGTTGTATGGATCTTGACTGAAGTTGAAGTGCACGAACGAATTCTCATTCCGGTATGTATATGGATGAACCTGGAATCCAAAAAAAAATTATACATTAAGTCCTTTGGTATGTATTTTTTAACCACAAATACTGAAAAGGTACGACTTTGGTGTTGCATGGACAACTTAAAGGTATACCTGCAAATTAAGGGCATGCGCTCGGGCAACAAGATCAGTAGGAGGCTGCATATAGTTGTTTGATACAGGAACTATGGTGTCCTTCCATGGCCCGATCCCCACCACATAATCCCTTATGAAATCAAGATAAGCGTCGGAAGTGATTTCCGAATAGGACTGGCATTTTACACAACAGTTCAAAAGGGTGGATAAGACTTCAGTTTCACATAGTCTGCCATGAAGACTACTCACAACAAAAGAGTAGTAGTAAAAATGCCCTAAAAAAAAGAGTATCCGGGAAAACGACAAAAATGTGCGAACAATGAATGGCTTTTACCTGCTTTGTGTCTTCAGTCAATACCGTGACATCGTCAATAAGAAAGACCATAGGCAGGTCAGTGAGATTGGATGCATAAATAAGAGATGTTGGGGCAAAAGACTGGACAAAAACAGGCTGTTTTAACCATTCCTTTGACATGTAAGATCCTTTGTATCCGTACTTCCTCAGCGTCTCCACAAACTTGTCTTCGAACTTCTTACCGCCTGGCCATTTAACCTGTAGGAGGGTAGTGGAAAGGTTAAGTTTCTTGCTAAGCCTAATCAGTAACTATCTACAACAAAAAAACCCAGTAAAATCCCACAAGATTAGGGTCTGGAGAGGGTGTGTGTAGGCAAACCTTACCCCTACACGGAAGTAGAGAGGTTCTTATTAGTAACTATCTAATTAAACTAATTAAATGTAGCACCAATGAGTAGAGTGAAGAACACACATGCTGATTAACAAAGACTGGATTCTTTATTTCTGGATATATTCCAACAACTCTAGGGGCGTCAAGTGCAATTGAAATGTATTCCTCAAAAGTAATGATAGGAAACTTTCCTGCATAGTAAAAATTGTTTTGTAAGTGTTTGACCGAAAAGAAAAAAGAAGAATTTTTTTTGGCATTTCTAGAGAATGTTAACCGTTATATTGCTGATCTCGGAAAGAATATCTTTGTTTTGCTCTAAGGGTCTGCAACTCATCGAGTGTGAAATCAACTGCATTCAACAAAAACAGACTATGCATAGGGCGCTTTAAAGTAAAAAAATCAAAAGTGAAATAGATATGAGAGTACAACTTAACATTTTACTATTTTTTTACTGTATAACTGCATACACAGCCTCCCCATACCCCTACTTCTTTAGGATTCTACTGGTTTGTTGTTGTACGTGAGAGAGAAAACATGGCAAAGGTGTAGAGTTAATACCAGTGAAAAAGCCGGTCGTGTTTGCCCCTTGAACCTCATAAGTCCTATTTCGGCCTGCAAACTCTTTATGATCAGCTATATCACTTGTCTCATCAAGGGTGACATCATGATGGCATATCAGCACACCGTCTTTCGTAGCCAAAATATCTGTTTCAATGAAGTCAGCACCTTCTTCAATAGCCCTCTGCATTAGACTCAAGTTACAGGTACCCAATGCATGAAGAAGACAAAAACTCTGATCCTACGAGGCACGCGGTTCACATTTTGTATACAGCAAGATTACCTAAGAGAGCTGTTTGGTTCACGAAATGAGATAGTTTATTCGTGTTGTTAAATTGTTAGGGGCAAATTCGGAACTGTCTAAAATACAAATTGCATTAGAATACCAATGTCATCAGTGTTGAGTATATAGTCCCACATTGAACACTTATGCTAAAAAAAGACTAATATATATGAATATGAGTTGCTCCTCTCACTGTCAAGTGGTTTTGAGTCAGTATGTCATAATTCTACAAGCAGATTACTCACCGAGATTAGATTACCCAAACCAAAGCACACTAATAAAGTAAGTAATCACTTGAAGGAAGAAGATTTAGGATTTTGGTTATTGTAATATTGTATAGTACCATGTATGCAGGAGCTGTTTCTTCGGGGAATTCTCCATTTGAACCCCGGTGGGCAATGTTATACGGGCGAAAAGTTTGTAAGGGCTGTTTGTTTCGGTCATTTCTTCGGCTAGGAAGCGGGTAGAGCGGTCTGGCAGAGCACCCAACAAACAGTAACAGAAGAACAAAGGGGGCAAAAACACCTGCCCAAACGCAATGAAAACTTTTTTGTCATATCCTCATCCAAAAAAAAGTTTATGCTCCATGTAATGCAATCCTTTTTCAGCATCTCTTGGGTTTTTTTTTGCACATATTGAATATAAATGTTTATGCACACACCAAATAACATCACAAAAGCTTCTCATTATCATCATCATCATCATCATCATCCAAATCATAAAAATGTATAAGCAAGCAAAAGAAGCAATGCTATCTAGAGAGTAGCTTTAGCTTTTTGTATTTAAAAAAAGAACCCTTTTGAGATAAATGCATAAAGCAAGCAAAAGTTAGTTTACAAAAGGAAAAAAAAAACTTATTTTTCAAGCTTTCTAAAAACAGGTTTTTTGGACTGCAACTTTTCACAAACAGTTGACATAACCATCTAACAACTAACAACTGATTGCCAAACATTAGCTTATTGAACCTAAAGAAAAACAGCTAATCGTCAAATACCCAATGGCCAAAATCTCAAGAAATTCACATGAATGCAAACGAATCGAACAACAAAAGTTACAGAATAAAAAAGAATTGCGATCTGGGGTGTGAAAGCTCACATGGAAACGCAGCAGCCATAAAGATTGACAGAAAGTTTCTGGGAATCTTCTTGACTGGGAGAAGAGCATCACAGTGAAAACGATGACTATATGGCGCAGACCAAGTGCTGCTGTATATCCATGGAATATTCTTCCACGGAGCAATTTTTACCCGTATTAGAAGTTCGTTTTTTAAGTAGGCATTAGAAGTTGGTAAGTAGTAGAACTACTCTCGCAATATACTATACCTCCCTTAGTATTTGTCTATATTCAATCTTTGACTTTAATTAAATGAAATATATATTGTATTTTAATTAGATAATATAGTATTTTATTTGACATAATTAAACTATTTTTGTATCAATATCTTATATCATTTTTATTTAATTTGAAGTCAAAATTTATCAATTTTGACCGAAAAAAGTCAAAATAAACAAATACTCTAAGACGGAGTGAGTAATATACTCAAGGACGGTGAGTAATTTAGTTTGTTATTCACACTTTATTATTTATAAGGTCAAACTTTTGTCACTTTTTTATCCATTTTTATTATTCATTTGATAAAATCATTTGATATAGTTTTTGAATATGTAATTTTATTTTTTAATTCTATACCAATTTTCAACTAAATTGAGTTTAAAATAATTTCAATCAAACCTTGGAACGAAGGAAACACTTTCTTCTAAAAAAAGCAAACTTTATGCTTCTCGCATGTCCGAAAAAAATACGGAGTATTTCTTTTAAAACAAAAAACCAGAATAAATAGCCCACAATTTTCTCTATTCTAAATATATAATATATATTTTTTTCAATTTTTTAGTCTATGTAAAAGTAAAAAAAATAAGCTTTTTTACATAATGGAATGAGTCAAAATACAAATAGTGATTGTATTTTTGTAGTAGTGTGGTAATAGTTATAACAAGAAGAATAGCAATCTAATTGAATCTCACAAAGAGTAAGGTCTGGAGAAGATGTGTGTGCGCAGACCTTACTATTATTGCGATAGTAGTTATTAGTATTGGTTATATAACTAGCTTTGGTATTCAAGCGATGTTAAATAATAAATTTTCATTTATAACATGTTGGTATATTTAGCATTTGTTGTGTTCTTTTCAAAAGCATATACTCCCTCCGTTCCCCACTTTTTGTTTACTTTTGACTTTTGGAACTATTCATCTAAGCACTTTGACTCATCAAATTCTCTCAATGTATAAGCCTAAATATAGACATGTGTGATCTTGTTTGATTTGTCTTAACATATAGATTATTAATATATAATTTCTATAATTTTTTAATATACAAATTACAAGATAAAATGGATTAAAGAAGTGCATTGGATGGTGTGCAAAAATAAATGTGGACAAAAACTGAGGGACGGAGGGAGTATTATTTTACTTCTCAGCTCACAATTTAGATGTTGAAAATCTCCTTGTACACAATTTAGTTCCAAGAATTACTTGGTTGACCAATGTTATACTAGTAACTCCCTCCCTCCCATGTCAAAAGAAACACACTGAAATGTTAAAAAAATTCCCAATTTTTAGTTCAAATTTTCAAGTTCAAAGAGTTAGGATCACTAAATAATGGGAACTAGTTGAAGATGATGCAACCAACAGTTGGCTTGGCCCAACAATTCAAAAACACATCCACAGAAGATAAAAGCTCATAAAACAGCTAAAATTCAAAGATCACTTCAAATCTAATGATAGAGCACTTGAGAAGAAGAGCTAAAATCTGAGTAGTCGACCACCGCCGCCGCCCCTTCTGATTTGCGCCCAAGCAATGGCGGCAGCGAATGCCCCTCCCATGTGAGCCAACCCCGACACTTGGGTATCACCCTGCATACCACCACCACCACCACCACCTCAATACTCGACTCATTACCAAACATGCTAGGGCACACCGCTTTTGACCCGGTTGTGTCTCAGAGACACTCTTGCATTGTTTGTGTGCCTACGAGACAAGATGGCGTCAAATGTAGTGTCATATGTGGTGTGCCTCTAGCTGACAAAACAGATGAACAGAATGCTTTTTGTATTTTTTTTCGAGGAAGCAAAGTGAGTTGAGTGCAAGAAGAGCATACCTCCACCATTCTTAGTACATCTTTTCCAATAAGAAAAATTCCCTGAAAACCAATGAGACATGACTTAAGAGCAAGTATAATAAATACTTTGACTTTTTTATATAGAAAAAAAAGTCAACGCACTCTTATAGCAAGGACATGAGGGAATCACATGGAGTAAAATAACTTAAAAAACACAGACCAGTAAGATGGCAGGAACTGGTATTATGAAGTCAAAATATAGTGTCTTTTTGGGGAAGAGGAATATGTCAAGCAACATAATTGCATTCACAGCTCCACTTGCTCCCTGAAATGCATATATATATATATATATATATATATATATATATATATATATATATATATATATATATATATATATATATATATATATATATATATATATATGAGCAGAAAACTAAGTGATTTTAAACAATATTGACAAGGATTAAAATACACAGCCTACAACAATACATTCTTTTCTTTACCTCCCTTTTCATATTAAAAATGACATTTTTTTATTTGGTAATCAACGAGAAGAACAAGAAAATACCAGTCCATATGCACTTGAAGTATCGATCCTCGTCATTCCACTCTTGTGTGCCTATAAAACACAAAATACTGTTCTTAGCAACTGAAGAGCCAAGGGTACATAGAAACCCAGTTTCTCTGTATTTCTAATGCTCTTTCAGAATATTCGACACTACCTTAGTTGATGGCGAGAAGAAGGCATGATAGACCAAGAAAAATACTGAACCAAGAACTGCCCCAGATATATACAGCTTCACAAGATATCCTGAGCCAAAAGTTCTTCCCACCTGTGGCAATGTGAGATTGAGAAATGATCAGTTTACAGTTCTTAAATACTCAAATGAAGTGGCCCCACTTTCGACCTTTCTGGTCTCACGGCTATAAGGTCATTCCCACTTCCGTTCCGAACTTTCACTGATCGCAGCTTAAAAGATATAATAAATCATCACCACCACCTCTACATTCACAATAGTTCAAAGTAATTGACTTGAATATAACTTAAAAAGTTGGCAAAACCTAAAGTTTCAAAATATGCACTTACACTTGTTCCAAAAAAGTAGAGTCCTATCATGTTAGAGATAAGATGGAACTGATCGATGTGACTGAATGCAGATGAAAGCAATGTGTGCAGCCGTCCGCTTTTAAAATTATCAACTGAAATCTGAGAAGTAATATGAAAATACATATTAATGTGGATTTATATGGTGTGTAGGTAAAACACTGTTTTTTTAAATACTGAAATAGCTTCTCTTTTCAGCTCTTCTAATCGCAAATCGCTGAAAAACAAGGGAGCCCTTAATTTAGCCACATGTAGTGTTTATTAGTTGATGTCCACTCATGTATGCATTATACAACAACTCACAGTGAAGTTCTTCAACATGAATGTAGAATCAGCAATCCTCCACAAGAGAAAAACAGCAACATTTGACACAACCAAACCTAGCACAACTTTATCTGTTGACAAATGTTGAAACCAATATCTCCTACACATGAAAAAGGGTGCTATTTAGTTAGTTTTTTTTTCATTTCTATTGTTTTTTGTGCAGCGAAAAGACTTTGAAACTACATTCAGATACCCTTGCAAGAGAACACATCATAGGATACACAAGGGCCGCATGTGCTTTCAGTTAATGGACATCTCTAAAAGGATGAGTAGATAATTACATAAGATATAATGATACAGATGACATATAATAAATATAAAGAAACCAAGAAAAGAACTTGGTGTTATATATTTTAGTGTAATTGGAAAAACTACGACCAATGGTATCCTAATAATCATCAAAGAAGTTTGGTGGTGCGGAGTGCACGCTTCATTGAGTTTGTTACGATATAAAACCCGTTACACCGGGGGTTCCAAGGGGGCAGCGCCCCCTTGGCGGGGGTTCGGGGGCAGCGCCCCCGAGCAGGGTTCAAGGGGCGGCAGCCCCTGCGGGGTCCAAGGGGGGTCGAAAATTTTTTATTTTGGGCTCGGTGCTATGTTAAAAAATTCAATTAGAATTTTAATTTCGAATTTTCTTTAAAAGAAAATTCGATGGATAGG